ACACGGTTCGAATCCACCAGATGCTCTGCCAGGGAAGGAGGGACAATCTCCTCCTGTACCAGTCAGAACTGATTTGACGGGACACACACAAATAATAAAAATTTAAAAAAAATTATTGTTATTGTCATTTGCCGTTGTGTCGGTTGCCTGTGACTCATAGCAACCCTTTGTAAGATTAGGAAAATAAAAACTATAATAATGAAACCAAGGTCCTAGTAGCCAGAGTAAAATAAAATAAAACTAGCATCATATTGTTGGTAGGGAGCTTCTGTTAATGGTGATAAATGGCTGGAGTATTAGTGAGAAAGTTATAAAACTTAAGCAGTCACTACTGTTAAGTTGGTTCTGACGCATAACAACCTTCCATTGGGTTTCTGATGTTGTAAATCTCAATTATCCATCTTTCTCCACTGGAACGCTGGCATTTTGAACTTGGGGGAGACTTGTGTGCAGCTTTTGGGTTAGTAGCACAAGTAGTTATGGACTACAGCACCAGAAGTTCCCAGTGTTAGTAGGAAAAGAAATATTAAAAATATTTTATGTATCATTAAACTAAGAAAATGGTATTTTACTTTGGAAAATTTATACCTATTGAAGAATTTTTGAAAATGTGAGGCTAACGTAGTTAAAACTATAAAGATTTTAATATACTCTTATGATTATTAAGAAATATGCTCAGCTGAACACATCTTTCTTATAGGTTTAAATTGCTAAATTAAAACAAAAACAACCCATAGGCACTTAAAGATTATGGTGTGATATGTCCTTAAATTTATGTAAATGTATTGCTTGACTGAATTTGTGTCCAGAAGCAGCTGAGAAGCCCATGTAATCTGTAAAAACCTGGCATGAAGGAAATTCTCAAAATTTTAACTGTACCATTCTTCACACAGTATTTTTCCTAGATAGAATAATAAATAATTAAAACAATTTCTTTTTTAATGTAGTTTATAAATGCTATTTTATTAGCGTTCAATGCTGTTCTCATAAAGTCTTTCCTACACCTTATGCTTATTTTTGAGGCTACTTAGTATTATGGTATGTTTCTCTCTATTCATACCTATTACCATCAAGCCCATTCTGATTCCTAGTGACCCTGTATTACAAAGTAATACAGGTTTTCTGAGGCTCTGGCAGGAAGTCACGCTGCTAACCAAAGACCACACTTCTCTGATGGTTCCACCAGCAGGGCTCTGCTGGAGAAAGATGGGCAGTCTCCTCCTTTGCAGTTCATTTCCCCAGTGGAGGGAATGTTTTGAGAATGTTCCAGTTTAACAGTGTTGAGTTGATTTTAATCTTTACAGAAGCACCTTGCCATATCTTCCTGCAGAGGAGCTCTTTGTGCTTGAACCACTAATGTCTTGTTTAACAGCTTAGTGCTTTATCACTGTACCAAGAGGGATGTTTATGTTTCTCTGTATATGACTATTGTTTTCTCTTGTTATTTATCCTAATTTAACAGCTTCACTAGAGTCAGTGGAATATGGTGGTAAGAAGTTAAAACCAAATTATGACAAGACACTCCTTTATGTATGTTGTTGTTGTTATATGCCATTGATTCACTTGCAACTCATAGCGACCCTATGTTCAACAGCCCTAAACTCTGCTCTGTCCTGTGCCAATCACACTGTCTCTGACATTCCCATCCCGATTACCCCAGTCACTGAATCAATCCACCTCATAGAGGGTCTTCCCCTCCTGCGCTGTCCCTCCACCCTCCCAAGCATGATGTCCCTCTCCAAGGACCTGTCTCTCCTTACACCATGTCCAAAGTATGTTAGACGGAGCCTCAGAATCCTTGCCTCCAAGGATTTAACCCTTTCCAGGATGAATCTGTTTGTTTTCCTAGCAGTCCATGATGGTTTAATTGCTGCTTTAAGCACTTTTTTGATATTAATTTTAATGTACTATTCATAGAGTAACATCTTTTGCTCACATCAGTGTTGAAGTCTTACACTCAAATCAACGTCTTCAGCATACGATCATTTAATGTAACTTGTTATATATGGTTGAGTTAGAACCAACTTATAACTGACCAACCCTCTAGTGGGTTTTCAGGGGCTGTAAATCACACTGAGAAAATTGCCCATCTTTTTCCAGTTACCAATAAGCCACCAGTGCTCCCTAATGTATTACAGTGGTATAAGTTATTGCATACATTAATTACATTAATCAGGCAGTTACTTTACATTCAAAGTTAGTTTAGTTGAGGTGTTTATCTTATAAAGAAGGGGCTAGTAAATTAGAAAAGAACTTGTAAGGAGTTTTGGAAGAGGAAAATTAGGACCAAATACTAAAGGAGCTAGACTGTTTTATTTTTTTTTAAATGAACTTTGTATAGATTTGGAGATATACAAGGAAGTGACTAATGAAAAAAACACTGCATACACAGGTTGTTACAATGGGAATTCTTTTTTTTTCTATTAGAATCTTTCTGGGGAAGAGACTGTTCCTCTTTCTCCCACAGAGTAGCCGGTGGATTCAAACTACCAACGTTTTATGCATTATAGCACTCACCAAGGCTACTTTAATTACATTGTGTTGAATATTTCAGATGTTTTAAATGGTGGAAAAGAGATTCAGGGGAAAGCTTTGCTTTAATCTTTGTAATACTTTCTCCAACACACCTATTTTAGGCAGAATCTAATATGAAAACAGTTTAATGCTCTTCATGCTCTTGCTTGTATCTTCCTTGCTTTGTGGTAGCTACATTTTTCTTCTTGATCATCTACCTTCCACCACCACCCCCAATCTTTAATTCTTGTAACCATTTTTTAAAAAATATATACTGCAAACCTGTATGTGAAATATAAGGGACAGAATGGGATAAACTAACTTATAGCTGACCCTCTAGCAAGGTTCTGAGGCTGTAAATTGCATGGGAAGAGACTGCCCGTCTTTCTCCACATGGTAAATTCACGCTGCTAGCCAAGTACCCCCTTAAGCACAATACCTATAGACATTGTCACCAGAGCTTGAGAAATACAGAGGAACCGAAGAATTATTCTCCATTCGTTAATGCTATCAATCACGACGATACTGTCTCCTCCTTATATGGCTACCTCTCAAAGTGTAATGCCCAGAGACCTGCAGCACCATCACCTGGAAACCTACCAAAACGCAAATGCTCAAACCTGCTTGATCTTAAATTCTGAATTCAGGACTCAGCTGGTAGTCCTTACTTTTTATAAGCTTACATGTGATTTTTCTGAAAAAATGAAACTGCTTTACAGTGTTTTACACTCCCAAGTAGACAAATTTCTACACATCATATATATTTTGTAAACAGTGCTTTATTATCGTCGTTTGTTTTCAGCAGTGTCCTATTTGATTCTGTCATTGAGACAATCTGCTATTCATGGTAGAGTTTGTCATTAACCTTATCCAACAACTCTATTGATGGTGGTGTTATGTGCCATCAAATCTCCTGTGACTCCTAGTGACCCATATGCTCTGAACTCTGCCCTATCTTGAGCCAGTCTACCTTCTCTGACTCTATTGACAGACTTTTAAAAATTATTTTTCTGTTATAAACTGCTACGGTAAATAACTTGTATATACATGCTTTCTCAACTATGCATTTTTATCTAGAGAATCATTTGTAGAACTACAATTCTTGGGTTAAGGGGTTATATACATTTATAATTACCAAGTGCCATCCTTTAGTTGTTCTGCTTAATTTTTTCCCCCCACCAATATTGTATGGAAGATGTTGTTTTCCCAAAGCCTTACTAACAGTTCACTATTTTTGAATAGAGGGTGTCTTTTCTCCCCTCCTGCCAAAAACTCCTGTATTTTGAGAGTTTATTAGCACAGGAAATGGCATCATAGATCGTAGGAATTTTACTCTGGCATTTTGACAATTAATATGTTGCAAGATACTAGCAAGTCTCTATTAAGGAGAAAAAAAAGTATATTCCTGTTTTAGGTCTCTATGTTGAGAAAATTTAGTACTTTTGCAGAGGAGAAAAAAAACCCCAAATTGGTCATTCTTTGTATACATTCTTAATTAGAGGATTATTTCAAGTGCTGTGTGTCAAAGTACATTATAACAGAAATAAAGCCAGAATTATGTAGTAAGGTTCTGATTCTTCAGAATAATAGCTTTAAATATTCTTAGTTGAAATATCATTATCATAAATAGCAAAAATAAAGGAACTAATTATAAATGAGGAAGTTAATGTTAAACGTCTTTGTTTAATTTGTTCTTAATAACTTGTTAAATTATAAAACCAGAGTGCTTTCAATAAGTCTTTAAGACCGAAAGAAATTAGACTCTTTTGAAATTAAGCTTCAGCAATGTAGTTGAGTAAAATTTAAACAATTCACAATGCCGACTTTCAGTCCTTCTGAAAGCAGGAAGTGTATTACTGACACGCAGAAATATTCCAGTCCAAAGAACATCCCTACTACCATATGTGGTAAGAGTTTGTCACTAACCCACAAACCACTTCTGTAATGCAGTGAATAAGCAGAATTGGTCTTTGTTGGATATTTCCAATTTAATATGAAAGAACTTCAGTGTCTTATAAGTCATTGTTAGCTTATTTATGCCTTCTAGAGAAGCCCTGGCTCATGGTTTATTGAGAGAATGATTAAAGTAGACGTGAACATAATCTTTTGGAGGGGAAGGAGGGACATTGTCAAACTTGGTTGTGACCCTTAATTAATACAGTGATTATTTGCATAAGTAAAAGGGTAAGTTAAATGATCTAACTTAGCTTTATTCATGCGTTTTAAACATAAAATTACTTTTATTTTAGTTGCCCCCCATTACTCTTTTTTGAAGTAACTATTAATGAGTATTTGAACTTGGGCCAAAAACCAGATTATTCTCGCAATTAACTCTTAGAAGATGGGGAAATAATAACTGTGAATTTCTAGAAAAAGGAAAATAAGTTGTGAGTAATCAGTCCAGCCCAACTTAGTAAAGAAATATTTGTAAATAGTTAAAATTTTGTAAATAACAGTGTTTTTCTAAACTTGTTTTTTTTTTAAAGAGATTAAGAAGATTGTCTACCAAATATAGAACAGAAAAGATTTATCCCACAGTCACTGGAGAAAAAGAAGAAAATGTTAAAAAGAACAGATACAAGGACATACTACCATGTAAGTTTGAAATGCTCTTGCTAGAAAGAATACAAATTATTAACCTTTTGTAGCGTAATGCTTCCTCATGAGTTTGATTGTTAGAGAGAGAGTAATTAACCTCTTTTCCAAGATAATAATTTGTAATTGTGCCTTATTTTTGTTTTCCCTTTTGGTAATTTTTTATGGTAGTGGGAGTTTTTTTAATTGTTGGGAGTGTTTTGTTTTCTTTCTGTTTGTTTTTCTTCTTTACACATCATAATTAAATAGCAAAAGATACAAATGAGAATATTTTGGGGGTCATCTCAAAGATATTAAATGACAGAATATAAGCAGATGGCTAAAATACATACAATTAAAAAATACATATAATTGAACAAATTTTGTGATGTTCTATTTCCAGTTTATCTAAAAAATTTTTTTAAGTAAATTATATATAAAAGATGGCTCAAATATTTGTGTGCTTACTATTCTTAGTTGCTTGCCATAATACTGAACTAGAAGAGCCAATAGTCTAAATGGATACTTCTGAGAGTGTGTTGTAGGCTGCTAGCATTATATTCTGATGCTTAACATAGGTTGCTAATTTGATGTATATGTACCACATTCTATGTATATGGCACACTTTACATTTCTATTTATTATTGCACATTTAGATTGTTTATTCCTTTTGGTAATTATAAATAAGATTGTTGTAAGCATTGATGTGTTAAGTGTGTGAGGGCTTACTTCAAATTCTTTTTTTTTTTTTCAAATTCTTTAAAGTATATCTCTATGAGAGGAATTATTGCGTTACGTGTTTTGCTTTTGGATAACCTACCAAATTGGTTTTCAGTGCCTAAGCATTGTCCCTTTCCACCCCACTCACAATGGAGGAGAGTTCAGATATTTTTTTTGTTGTTGTTGCTACTATTATTTGTTTTTTAAAATGTTTATTAGTGCTTTTTTCCCCATTGTTGCACATCCCTCCCACCCCCAGCTCACCCTGCAGTGCACCCTTTGTTCCAGATTGTTGTCATACATGTAATGCCTAATCATAAATTCCTTTTGGGTAGTTCTCCCTCTCAGCTGTTCTAATGTGGTGTTCATTATCTATCCACTCTCTTTCCATTCTCAACCCACCCGCATGTCTGCATGTCTGTCCTATCTGTCCTGTTTTATAACAGCAGTGTTATGCAGTGTTTGCTTTTTGTGACTTTGTGACTGAAATATTTAACTCAGCATAGTGTCATTGCAGCTCCCCATGTTGTGTAATGTTTTAAGAGTTCATTGTTTTTCAGTGCTGTGTAATATTCTATTGTGTGAATGTACCATAGCTTTTCTGTTTATTCATTTGTTGATAGACACTTGGGTTGCTTCTCTTTACTATCATAAATAACACAGTAATAAGAATGGGTGTGCATATATCTGTTTGAGTCTTGGCTTTGGTTCCCAGTAGTGAAATTGCTGGGTTAAATGTTATTTTTATTCCCAACTTTTTGAGAAAGTGCCAGACCACCTTTTATAGTGACTATACCATTTTACATTCCCACCAGCAGTGAATAAGAGTTCCATAACGTTACCAGCATTTGTTGTTTGCTGCCCTGTTGAACTTTGGTATTGTTGCTGGGGTGAGATGATTGATATAGTTGTTTTGATTTGCATCTCTATGACAGCTAGGGATTTTGAATATTCCTTCATGTATTTGTTTGCTATCTGAATGTCTTTGGTGAAGTGTCTGTTAATATCCTTTGCCCGTTTTGTGATTGAGTTGCTTACCTTTTTCTTGTTGAAGTTGGAGTGTTCTAATTTTTTCACATGCTCATCATTACTCTTTTCCATTGTTTTGATGATATCCTCCCAAGGGGGACTGAGGAGTCGCTGCATGGTGCAAATGGTGAACATAGCCAGCTGTTGACTGATAAATTGAAGGTTTTAGTGCACTCAAAGGCATCTTGAAGACTAGACCTGGAGATCTTCTGAGAATAACCAAAGCCCAAGGAGAACATATATGGCATCACTATGATAAGTTTACTAATGGTTATGAAGTGATGGCTTATTGGTGTTTGCGTTTTCATTGGCCTCATTATTGATGAGGATGAGCATCTTTTCATGGTGTTTTTCTGACTGTTCATTTTCTTTGGGTAGATAACTATTTGAGTTCTTTGCTCACTTTAAATTAGACTGTTGTTGAATTATGTTGTTAGATACAGTCACCTGCTTTAACTCTGACCAGTTTTGTACCTTTCTTGTTGTTGGCTCTTGAGTTGATTCTTGTGGTCATAAAGACCACAAGTGTAAAAATAAAACTATTCTGTGGCATTTCCTTTGGGAAGCAGGGGTTGTTTTTCAGGGTGTCTGTGGGTGTATTTAAACTGTCACTCTTTCAAATTAATAGCTAAACACTTAGGATTTTGAGCTGCCCAGGCATTGTAGGACTGTGGAAAGAATCAGTGCAACATGGCAGGGGGGCTCTTAGTCTGACTTCTCACATAAAAAGGGGAGCTGCTCCCATCAGTAATATCCATAGCTTCAAATAGCTGCTAGGTAGACATGCCACCCTCTGACTTCTGCACTTATTTCCACAAATCATTGGGTTTGACATTCATTGTTGACTCACAGTTGTGGTACCAAGAGTGAGATTTATTACAGAAGTAAGTTGGAGAGTGAGAGAGGCAAAAAATATCATGCAGTCGAAGTCCAAATTTTAGTTCAGCAGTTCCAAGGCTCCAGTTTCAGTTCAGCAAACAGCATTTTCTTCCATTTACAAGAGCAGCAAAACCTTTAATGTGGCCTTTATCTCAGGGCTCCTTTGGTTACATCTTGTAACAGTTTTTCCACAGCAATGCCACAGTCTTTCTATAATCAGCAGGGTTTCTCTCACCTGGATCTTGCTCTAGTCTCCCTCAAATCTTATTGCTTCCTATGAGGAGCACTCTTTCTTTTCCTAGTCCCACAGCTGTTGATGATTTTCAAGACAGTGTTTGCAGTTAAGGTAGCTGGAAACTATAGCAGGCTAACATAATGGCTAGAGAAGCCAATCTTTAAGCTAGCATTGCAAGGACTTTATATATTTTGAATATTGAACACTTGCCAGATGCATCAGTAGATTCTTGACTTTTTTTATAGTAAATATCTAAGTTTTTGCTTTTATAAAGTCTAACTCTGTTATTTTAGTGGTTATTTTAGGGCATATAGTACATATCTGTAACTTACCATCTTCAGTCTTTAAGTACTATTCTATCACTTGCTACATAGTATAAGAACCTGAATAAATAGCATACTTGCTCATATTATAATCTGTTTCCACAAAATCTTCTTGTTTGCCTTAAAATGATGACATTTGATTGCCTCTAAATTATGAGTGAGATTTTGAAAAGGAAGTTGTGGCTTTGCTTTTTTCTCATTTATTACATTTACTTGCCCTGCTTAGTTTTATTCTCAGAAAGATAATTTTCTCATAGAGGCTAAAATGATCTCTACTTGGCCCTTAGAGTTTATGATCCAAAGAAAGAGAAAATTTCTGTTACGTGTATCTATATAAAAATGTGTGGAATGATTCAAGGCCTCTTGATGAAATAATTATACATGATATGGCCATAGATACCATGTGACTATACTTAATAGCTTCTTAAAACTACAGAGGATGGAGAAAGGTCCCAGGAGAAGGAGGCATGATGGCTGGAAAAAGCAACACAAGGCACAAGCTTACTTATACCAAAGAGAAATTTAGTGAGCTCAGGAGTTTTTAATGAAAATAATAGAACAATGGACAACCACTTGAAAAAGAAAAGTAAATTTATTAATCTTAATAATGGAACGGGCATGACATTTCTGAGTATTCAAAACAAAAATGTATATTCTAGAAGTGAAGAAGGAAAAAAATTATGTAGAGAATGCTATTAAAAATCAGAAATTCTGTGACATGAGTGGAAAAGAAATGTAAAGACAGAGGGGACAGATCAGAGTAGGAGAAATATGAAGGGACTTGAGACTTCTCTGATAATATCTTTTTATCCTTTTCACTCTCTGGGCACCATCATGACAGTCAGCAAGAACAAGCGCCTTACAAAAGGTGGCAAGAAAGGAGCCAAGAAAAAAAAGTAGTTGATCCATTTTCTAAGAAAGATTGGTATGATATAAAGGCACCAGCAATGTTCAGTATAAAAAATATTGGGAAGACACTAGTCACAAGGACTCAAGCAACCAAAATTACATCTGATGGGCTCAAGGGTCGTGTTTTTGAAGTGAACCTTGCTGATTTGCAAAATGATGAGGTTGCATTTAGAAAATTCAAGCTAATTACTGAGGATGTTAAAGGCAAAAACTGCCTCACCAACTTCCATGGCATGGATCTTACTCATGACAAAATGTGTTCCATGGTCAAAAAGTGTCAGACTATGATTGAAGCTCATGTTGATGGTTATTTGCTTTGTCTGTTTTGTGTTGATTTTTCAAAAAAAGGGAAAAAAAAACCAATCCAACCCAACAAACAAAAAAACCGCAACAATCAGATTTGGAAGACCTCTTATGCTCAGCACCAACAGGTCTGCCAAATCCGCAAGAAAATGATGGAAACCATGACCCAAGAGGCACAGACAAATGACTTGAAAGAGGTGGTCAATAAATTGATTCCAGACAGCATTGGGAAAGACGTAGGAAAGGCTTGCCAGTCTATTTATCCTCTCTATGATGTATTTGTTAGAAAAGTAAATATACTGAAGAAGCCCAAGTTTGAACTGGGCAAACTCATGGATCTTCATGGTGAAGATGGGAGCTCTGGAAAAGTACCTGGAGATGAGACAGGTGCTAAAGTTAAATGAGCTGATGGCTAAGAGCCACCAAGAATAGTTCAAGAATCTATTTAAAATTTAGACTTTTAATGATGACAAATAAAAATTCTTATTTGTGGGGGGATAAAGAATATCTTTTTATATAGGTTAAGATTCTTACTTCCTCCATGAAGTTAAAACCAACCAATATAAACAGTAACAAATGAATTTAACTATATTGTAAATGTTTACTATAACTATACTGTAGGG